TGGGTTTTAGGCATTCCTCTCGGTTCATTGCCCTCGATCCAGCCCTGCAAGGCCTCTCGCACCCTCCTTGACATTGATTTTGGATCACTTGTTGTTCCCTTGTGCCTGTGCTTGTTAACACCCTCTTCCTTCCTTCCCCCTCCCCATCTCTGGTATTTTTGAAGGGTCTTTTGAGTGATCTGAAAGTTAATGTGTCCTGTTAATACAACAAGTTTTTTCTGTTTCAAATCATTTTATTGGGAGCTCGTACAACTCTTACCACAATCCATGCATGGAACAAGTGTTTCTGACTGGAAGGAATCCTTGCCTTGAGGCACCTCCCCTTACAGTTGTACCCAAAGGAATGCCAGTTATTCTCACTAATTTCAGCATGGGATGAAGATGATTACATGGTTTAATTTTTTCCTACCGATGTTGTCCACAGAATAAAATGTTTGATGAATCGATGGGGGCAAAGCCTTCCGATTCTTCAAAACATTTTACCTGAGAATGTGCTTCTTTCAGAAGATACTAGAGCCCCACATACCAAGGGAGAATGCTCTAGGAAGCAGGCAAATTAGAGAATCCAATGGGCTGTGGGACTCAGGAAACCCTTGCCTGTTTCAGACGCTGACCGGAAAGGAGATTGAAATTGACATTGAGCCCACGGACAAGGTGATGTATTCTCAACGCCTCTTTATGCCTTTCACCCTGCCATGTACGTTTCTTTGGGTGTGCTTATGAACGTGGTCCTTTCCCTTGCTGTCTGCATAGCCCTTGTTCTTCCCATTTCCACGGCCCCACTCCTGCCTGAGCAGTCCCTGACTACTTGTTCTCCTGAAGGTGGAGCGAATTAAGGAGCGAGTGGAAGAGAAAGAGGGAATCCCCCCACAGCAACAGCGCCTCATCTACAGTGGCAAACAGATGTAAGTAAGTGGAGGCTGGGACTGAGGAGGGCGATCTGTGACGGTGAGGAGGGTGCCTCAGGCCAGGCCTGCCTGTGTTTTGGTGCACTGGGGCTTTGGGCAGCTTGGTGAAGCCTATGGACCTATTCTCAGAGTAAGGTTTTTACAGTCATAAAATACCTAGGTTTCTATGAAGAAAACCAATTACTATTGAAATACGAAGGCTCTTCCAAAAGTTTGTGGGAAAATGGAATTTGTAAGAGAATGGATTTTCTCCATGAGCTTTTTGAAGCCTCAATTCTCAAAAGACAATAATAAACAGCAATTTTGTGATAAAGTAATATATGTGCTTTATTAATGCATCAAATAAGATTTAATGGTGGACTTAATAACTGCCATAATTTGAAATAGTTTCAAAATACTACAACAGTTGCAATATATGAAAAAATTGGAGTCTTGGTAGTAATTTATCCATCTTGCTAATACTTCTGTGTTTTTTGCTTATGTTCAAGATTAAATGTTCTACGAGTATTTTTAGTTGGGGGGTTAATAAAAATAAAGGTATAATTTTTCTTCCATGTAAGTTTACAGACACCAGCTCCCGCCCTCCTCAGAAGATTCATGATTGCAGGTTTAAAATCCCTGTGGTTGATGGGGTTTTAATTCTTTTTTTGCCCCTTGCAGGAATGACGAGAAGACAGCAGCCGACTACAAGATCTTAGGTGGCTCAGTCCTTCACCTGGTGTTGGCGCTGAGAGGAGGAGGTGGTCGTCTTGGGCAGTGATGGACCCTGTTACCTCCTCACCCTGTCGCTGGTCACAAGGCACCATAGGTCCTCATTCTCTGGGACCCCAGAGCCACTGTCCCCTCCCCTGGATGCCCAGTCTTGTGTATCTGCTGGGGGGTGGAGGGGCTACTGTGAGGATCCCAGGATGCAGTGTTTCTGGCCCAAAGGGCCCTTGCTGGCTCTTGGGTTTTAGTTTGTGGTCCTGTGTGCTCCCCTCTCACCACTGTGTCCCTGGTTGTCAATAAAACATTACCTGGCCTCCTGGACTCTTTCTTGTGTCACAGAAATCGATATGGTGCTCACCCACTTGTGCTGGGCAGAAGGAGAAGGGTCGTGGAAGGCGGTGTGCTTTAGAGGGACTGTCTCAGGAAAGCTTGCTCACGGGGATGTGCTCGGCCCAGCGTTACCTTCTCACCATAGTCCATTACTGGCATTTTTTCTCAACTCCACATCAAATGTCATTTTTTGGTGTCCTGAAATTGGCTTCGGTGGGAGAATTTACAGATTGGTAACCACTGCAAATCAGTCCCTACCACACGTTGGGCGGCTACCCAGATGGTCAGCAGTTTGAAACCATATGTGCGCTCCTTCAGGGCTGGGGGCCGAGTGGGGATTCTACTGTAGCAGACTCACAGGGGCACAGAAAGTCGCAGTGTTACCATGGGTAGGCAGCAACCCAGTGGCGATGAGTTGTGTTTGGTTTGGGTAATTGGCGACATCTGCCTGGGGTTTGGAGAATGGCTTCCAGGGCTTTGCATACACTACACTTTTTACAGCCGGAGGAACCTGCTGAGGGCTGGTATGGACAAAGATGGAGAGCAGTGACTAGCTCTGAGAGATCACTTCCAAAAGCCAAACCGCCAACTCGTGGTGAGCCTCCCGATAGGATAGGGTAGAGGAGCCCCTGTGAGTTTCCGAGACTTGTTAACACTGCACGGAAGTCCAAAGCCTTGGCATCTCCCTGGAGCGGCACTCCGTCCCCAAGGCTCCTGATGGCTCAATTTTCAATGAAGGGGCGTGCTAGCAGAAAGGGCTTGCTTCCCTTCCCTGCGAGTGTAACCTAGTGAGGCTTCCTGGCGGGGAGGGAGGGCAAAGCCAGGGGAGGGAACGTGCGGTTGCTCTAGGGGCCCTCGCTCTGCGCGGGGCCTGGGAACCGCAGAGCGGAGAAGGCTCCGCCTCCGCGCCAGCCGGCGGCACCGGAAATGGCGCGGCTTCCCAGACTGGCCGTGTTTGACCTGGGTGAGAGCCCGCCGACCGTTCGTAGCGTCTCCCCTTTGCAAATCCCCCTTGGAATCCTCCCGAGACCTTGCGCTCACCGACGCTGAACCTTCCCACCCCTCTGTCTCGCAGATTACACGCTGTGGCCTTTCTGGGTCGACACGCACGTAGACCCCCCGTTCCACCGGAGCAGGTGAGGCTGGGTCAGGGAGGGCAGGCAGGGCCGGGACGGCGGGGCCAGCTCAGTGCGCTCTCGCCCTCAGCAGGGACGGAACTGTACGAGATAGCCGGGGTCGCACCATCCGACTGTACCCAGACGTGCCGGAGATCCTGGGACGACTGCGGGACCTGGGGGTGCCTGTCGCGGCCGCTTCCCGGTAAGAAGAGCGACCGACACGCACACACACAAAGCCAGGTGCGGAGTGATGCTTGAGAAATCTTCATGGAGGTATTTGCACGTGCCCCTAATTTTTAATCCTCTCCCGTTACTTATGTTGATTAAACAGCATTGAGTCCGCCTAAAGGAATATGGAGTTGCATAAGGGTCGAGATGGTCTACCCATCCCTGGAGAACAGCAAGTCGATCTCCCCGCTTGTACTTCCCGTGCAGCCGCGGCCCGAGTTGCTCCTGATGCCATCTTTTACATCTGCTTGCAGGACAGGGGAGGTGGAAGGGGCCAACCAGCTGCTGGAGCTCTTTGACCTAGTCAAATACTTCGTTCATCGGGAAATCTATCCCGGCTGCAAGATCACCCACTTTCAGAGGTACGCAGTGATAAGGGCAGGGGCTGGGAGAGAGCATGCCCAGCGGCGGGGGCAACCAAGATGCCAGCTCAGTTCCTGGGCCCCGCCCTGCGCAGGTTGCAGCAGAAGACTGGCGTCCCTTTCTCCCAGATGGCCTTCTTTGATGACGAGAAGCGGAACGTTGTCGATGTCAGCACACTGGGTACTGAGTGAGGAGCACAGCCATGTGGGAAGAGAGGAGAAAGGTTCCTCAGGAGAGAGACGTTAGGGAGATAGAAGGGGCACTGGGAGAAGCATGTGGAAAGTTGGGATGAAAAGATAATGGGTTTTCTTCCAGGAGCTTTCTGAAGACCCATTGTATGTACAGGGTGGATGGTTGGCGCGACAGGCGCTCCCTACAGAAGGGAAGAGCAGAGTGGAGAGCCGCGGACGCCTGGTGAATGTGACTTCTGTTCCTCTTAGGTGTTACCTGTGTTCACGTCCCGAACGGAATGAGTCTGCCAACCCTAACTCAAGGGCTAGAGACATTTGCAAAGGCCCAGGTTGGGGGCCCAGAGGCCCAACCCTGTGGATGATTCTCCCTGGGGGCATCAAGAAGGCAGGCATTTTCGAGTGTACCTGTAAATTATTAAAGTGTACGTGTGTGAGACAGAGGAGATCCTAGCCACGAGGTGGGCTGTTTCATTTTGCTGATGTTGGCGGACCGTCCTGGTGATGTGCTTCAGAAGGACCACAACCTTAAGGCCCCATGGCGTTCGACTCCGCACTCAAGGGTCACTGTGAGCCCAATGGACTCAACCGGAAATGCCCTGTGGGAACTGGGGTGGCCGCCCTGAGGGTGTGAAGGGGTGCCCAGGATAACGGGATGCAGAACGCTTCCACTGGCCCCGTCACCCTGGGGTGCCATTGCCTTGCACGCTACCTGCCAGGAACAGGCAGATACTCCGTTGTTGGGTGGGGGCACAGGCTGGTAGGAAAGTTGAAGGCGAAGCGGCCACTTTAAGAAGAACGCGGGGCGTCGTAGACCGCTGGCTCGGGTCACGTGGTAGGCGTGGCCGCGCGTGTTGATGACGTCTTCGCTGTTCCCTGCAGGGTGATTGGCCGGCCCCGGTCGCGGAGTGGTGAGGCCCTGCCCTCCGAGGGAGTGGGCGGAAGTGTGGAAGACGCCGTGGGGTGGAGGCAGGCGGGCGAGACGAGAGGCACGATGAGTGGTCTCGGCCGGCTCTTCGGGAGGGGTGAGCCGGGGACACGCGCGTTCGCGAAGGTGCTGGCACCTGGGGGCGGAGCACGGGGCCCTGCCGCAGCCCCGGGCCGGGGAAGCGCTCCAGGGAAGAGGTCTGAAAAGGCTGCCGAGGCGCTGCGAGGCCCGTCTTCGGAGCACGGAGCCCTTGCTCGGGTCTGCCCGCCCTCCCCCGGTGGTGAGGGAAGGGACGCCGGTCGATGGTGCCGGCGCACGAAATACAGCTTGGGGACAAGTCTCCACCTGTCCCATCCAGTGTTTTCCTGAGCACCGACGCTGGCCGAGTCGGGCCCCGCGTCCTTCGAGCTCCTGTGTGGTGGGGAAAGACAAGTCTAACAGGATTTACAGTGTAGTAGAGCAGTCCCTGGATGCTGCTCTCTTTTAAGGTAGAGCTTCAAGGCCACCCAGAGGTGCCTCTGAAGAAAGGGGGCTGGCTGTCTATTTTAGAAAAAACAGCCACAGGAGATTCTATGGACACACTGACACACGTGGGTTTGCCATGGGTCATAATCCAGCCGAAGGCCTCTGGTCATGGTAGTAACTCAGCGGTGCCCGTGTTGGTAAATCCCCAGGGTACATAAAGGAGCCAATGGAGCGGGTGATCCAGACGGTTCCCAAAAACCTAGGCGTTTGAGGTTTTTTCAGGAAGTAGGAAGAGTGTGCCGGGCCCAGAGGAAAGAGTATTCAGGGAGAGGGAGTGCTGGCTGCTGGGCAAATGTGGATGGAGAGGCCAACAAGAGCCAGGCTCTGAAGGACCAAAGGCATTTTGCTAACAGAGGTTTGCGTTTTACCCTATAGGTAATGGAGAGTGGCAGGGTTTTATGCAGGCAAAGGGTATTTTGGGAGGGGTTAGGGGGGCACCTATTAAGTGTAGAAGCTGGAGCAGAAAGTGAAGGTTGGCTCCTTTTCTCTTGTCACTGTAGCTCGTTCAGTGTGCTTCTGTGTAGTCAGGACCTGAGCAGCTAGGACCACCATGGGCAATGAATATAAAAAGAGCTGACTATATAGGAATCCATTTGACATCCACAACGTGAAAGATACACCTTAGGGGGCAGTGAGTTTATATGAATGAGGGAGGAAGGACAATTCAGAAAAACAGCCGACAGTGGTTGCCCAGTTTGAAAAATGCAATCAGTGGCATGAATTGTACATGCAGAAGTTGGTATATGGTTTGTGTATATTCTCAACAACATGGATTTTTCTTGAAAGGGATAAAAAAATGGCTGGAAGTGACTCAAAAGGCAGCTTGAAATAGCTCAAAGAATTCTGGCTTTGGAAAGCCACATTGCCCTGTTTTGATTCCTGCTGAATCTCAGACTAGTTAGGATTCTGGACCCTGAAATTAACACTGGTGAGCCTGTTTCCACATTTGTAAAGTGAAGAGAGTACACTCATTGTATGGAGTCCCTGAGGCATTAACAGTAACACGTAAACTGTGTCCAGCACTTTCTATGCACTCAGTGATTGGTGCACACAATGTTTTCCCTGCACACAATATGGGTCTGCTCCATTGGATTCTTCAGGGAAGAAAGAGAAGGGGCCAAGCCCTGAAGAGGCAATACAGAAACTAAAGGAGATGGAAAAAATACTGATCAAGAAACAGGAGTTTTTGGAGCAGAAGATTCAACAGGAACTACAGACGGCCAAGAAGCATGGAACCAAGAATAAGAGAGGTAATTGGTGAGGGGGGAGCAATAGGGAGGGTCCAGATGGGAAGCAGGTGATTCTGGCTATGATGTTCAGAGTTTGGAATGGGTCAGCTGCCCTACAGGCTTTGCGGAGGAAAAAAAGATTGGAACAGCAGCTGGCACAAACCGACGGGACATTATCCACCTTGGAGTTCCAGCGTGAAGCCATTGAGAATGCCACCACCAACACAGAAGTGCTTCGGACCATGGAGCTTGCTGCCCAAGGCATGAAGAAAGCCTACCAGGACATGTGGGTACGGGGGGAGAAGAGCTACAGGCTCTGGGGAGAATAGCTTGGGATCACGCCTTGAACCTTAAAGCCTCTCAGAATACGAATCTCTAGGAACTACGCCTCAGTGCTTTCTTGCTTCCTTGCTGGCTTAAGATGTTCAAGGGAGGATTGGTTATCTGATTCGTAAAGATCCATCAGGGAAGAGAGTGCTACGGCGTATCCTCCCCAGCGTGGTTTCTTTCCATTTCTCAGCTGTGATTAACCTCTTTACAGTTCCCAAAGATGTCTTCCACCTGGCAGCCACAGGCTTCGTTCACTGCAGGATGAGAATGCCAGGGGTTGGTGTCTGATTTCTTGGCTGTCTATCTTGTTCTCAGGGACATTGACAAAGTGGATGAACTGATGGCTGACATCACAGAACAGCAGGAGTTGGCCCAGCAAATCTCAGATGCCATTTCACGGCCCGTGGGGTTTGGAGATGATGTGGATGAGGTGATTGGGAACAAGGAGCCTAGGAGTATCGGAAAGCCTGGAGCACCCAGAAGCAGAGCCTCGTAGTAGAGGCCCTCAGGGCAGAGTTTGGGAGGGAGCTTTGTAAGCAGTGAGTTCTGGGAAGCTTCCGTGACCTTGACCAGTCTTGTCTTGTGCCCAGGATGAACTGTTGGAGGAGCTCGAGGAGCTGGAGCAGGAAGAATTGGCCCGGGAGTTGTTAAATGTGGGCGACAAGGAGGAGGAACCCCCAGGCGAATTGCCCAGCGTACCCTCCACACACCTGCCTGCGGTGCCAGGTACTCAGTGCTGTTTTGTGGTCCACAGGGTGGAGAGGGTGGGAGCAAGGCAGAGGCAGCTACTGCTACAGTTGTGCAGGCTGCGGGGCAGTGAGGGCTCCCCGGGGAGTGCTGCTGTTCTCTCACAAAGCTCTGCACGCTGGTTTAGGGTTGGAGAATGGAAGGAGAAAGCTGTTTTCCAACTTGCATAGGAGTACCATGGGCATTAGCACGTAGAGGCCTGTCTCTAGGGTCTTTGCTAAGGAGAGGCAATTCATTAGGCTCGAAGTGATATGACAGGGATGATTGGGAAGGTGCTGAGTTCTTAACCCTTCTCTCTCTGGATATCTCCCCAAAGGTCTCGACACTGCTGAAGACGATGCAGCACTAAAGCAGCTGACAGAGTGGGTATCCTGATGAGTCTGGACTAATCTTCCTGGCTTTCTTTTCCTCAAGTGCCAAGTGCTGAGTTAAAGGAGTGTGGCCTTTGTAGGAGGGCCACAGTGTAACCCAGCCCTTCCGTCCCTGGCTCACCTTGGCAGAGAGATCTGGGTGTGGGAACTGGAGCAGTTACTGGGCCCTTGTTTCCAATAAAACTGGGCAGATAGAAAGCAGCCTGGTGTCTGCACCGCCTTGTCTACACTAGTCCTTGGAGCCTTGTTTCGAGCAGTTGATAGAGAGTAACAACGAGCTTTCCCCATTTCTTTTACCTACTTTAAGGCAGGTGTGTTTCTTCCTTCAAATTAGCTTGCCCTCCAGTTGCCCAGTGCTGGGGTTAAGAATGCGTTACCTGATTTTTCATGTCCCCCTAGTCATGCCCTGGCAGCACAGCCCATGATTTACCATCCTTTTTCCTTTGGGAGGAAAACACGTTCGAGAGGGAGAGGGATGGCTTTCCATTATGCAGACTCCTTAGCTCACTGTAGTGTGCACCATCCCAAGGCTGGGTGGGAACACTGTCACTCTGCGGCTGAGAATAACAGTGTGAGGGCCGCAATTCCCTGGGCTGGTGCCAAGTGGTTAAGGGAGCATGCAGAGGGAAAAGAAAACAAGGTTTTGCCATACACCCTGGCACCCATTCCCAAGGGGGATGGGTGGCATTCCTTTGGCCTATAGACAGCCATGGCCAAAGGGCCTTTGTCTCACTGTTTGAACCTGTGGAGGGCAGACATGTGATGAGCATGTGCTCAGACTGATGAAGCTTGCCGACTCTGACCCTAAAGGACAGGGTGAAACTGCCCCTGGGAGATTGGGGCTGTTTTAACTCTTGACTGGAGTAGAAAGCTCCATCTTTCTCTCACAGAGTGGTTTCAAACTGCTGACCTTGAAGTTAGCAGCTCAATGTATAGGTAGCCATTACCCCAGCAGGGTTCCCGAAGCTTCCCAAAGTGGGTGTTAATGTGCACACACCATCCCTATCCTCCACGTGAGCTCCATGGTGAACTGCAGTGTCCCCAGAGAATCAAGATGACTTGGGTGCAGGGTCTGGATGGAAAGCCCCTTCTTAACCTCAGCAGACTTCCCTGAAGAAAGGAGGCCGTTGACTCCGATGATGAAACTAAATCAGAAGTAGATTTATTTTTCTTATAAAAAATTTTAGCCCTAAGCCCTCCTCCTGCTGCTCCTCTCTCATCCCCCTCCCTCAGCCGTTCTGGCCTTGGCTTCCAAAGATGAGTGGCGATTACTGTTACTGGGAGGCTGGCACATGGCCTCAAGCAACTTGATCTCATGGGTGGGTAGCTCAGGCTGGAACTTGATTACCCAGGGGTCCTTGATGATCTCCAGGATGGTGGCACGCTTGGTAGCTTGGCGTAGCATCTGGAGGATCAGGTTCTAGGACAGGGAGTGAGAAGCCTTGGCTGAGGTGCCACACAGGCAAAGAGCAGAAGTAGGGTGACTATCACACCCCTCTAGTGCAAGGGGCCTGACCCTGGCCCCTGATCCTGGAGAGCCAGGCTTTGGTGCACCGCAGGAATGGAAGGGAAGAGGCCATGGGAGAAGTCCCTTACACAAGCTATTTAAGCTTTAAAAGGGTAGAAATTTCTGTCATTCACATTTAAGAATTGGAGCCCAGTGATTGGTCCTGCCCCCCCCCCCCCCCCCCCCAATACAGACAAGGCTGGGGCACTAGATGGATCTGCTGCGGGAAGGACCTCCCCTCAGGTTGGGTATTCACCCCTCTCCCTGCGGGTCATCTGTGAGGCCTCAGCCTTTCCAGGGGAGCCAGCACCTTGCAGTCCTGGGAGATGCTGTGGTTCGGTGGGAAAGTGACCTCCTTCTGAGTCTCTTTCAGCAGCTTCTTGAGATTGGTGTCATCAAAGGGCAGGCGGGCGACCACTAGGGTGTAGAGGATTACCCCCATGCTCCAGGTGTCAGACAGGAAAGGACTGTAGGGCAAGCCTAGCAAGATCTCTGGGCAGGCATAAGCAAAGCTGCCACAGTAGGTCTGGCTGAGGTGGGCAAAGCAGCTCATTTGGCGGAAAGAAGAGCTACTACGCACAGCAAGCTGGTTGGGAGTCACCATCTTGGAGAAGCCAAAGTCTGAGATCTTCACATTCTCCCGCTTGTCCAGCAGCAGGTTCTCCAACTTTAAGTCCCTACCAGCAGCAGAAAGGCTGGGCGTCAGGCTGGGGAGAGGGCTTAGTATGAGACCTGGAGCTGAAGGGTCAGAGGTTAGAGGAGGAAAAGCAAAGTGGTGGGGAGACACCATTATGGGGACAGGGCAGAGGGGAAGGAGGGCCATGGAGTTGTAAACTGATCCAAAGTGAGCCCAAAAATAGTCCCTGAGGACCACTGGATAGTCACCAGTGGATTTCAGACAGGGCTTTGCCCCAACAGGTACTTCAATGTTTTTGACCAGATGACTGAGAGTGGATGATTGGGCCTAGACAGAGGGAAAGAGGCTAAAAAAATGGGAGACATGCACAATCCCCCCTTGAGAGCCCAAAGGCCCTAGGTCTGGGTGGCAGCGCCCTCACCGGTGCACAATACCCTTGCTGTGCAGGTAGGCGATGCCCAGGCTCAGCTGGGAGAACCATTTGCCAGCAAGGGGTTCAGAGCAGGCCCCGTAGCGCTGGATCCACTCAAGGACGTCACCACCCTGAGCCAGCTCCAGGATGATGTACACTCGGGATGTGGTCTCAATGGCCTGGTAGAAGTTGATGAGATTCTTGTGCCGCAGGACCTTCATGACCTGGCCCAGGAAGAGGGGCTCCTCAATCCCCGCAAGGGAGAATGCTGGCTGCACAACCAGCCTTCTCCCCCATCCCACTGCTGCTCACTTAACTCGGAGAGCACATTCATGAGCCACACAGAGCTCACAGCCAAGTGCCGGGTGGCCTACAGGGAAACTCAGGTTTTCAATCTTACTATTTGAGGGTCTGGAGCCAAATGGGTGGGTAAGTGGGTGAATTTTGAAATCGGGATTTCCCTAGCTAACTGGTGAGTTGGTCTAATAATTCTTTTCTAAGAATTCCTGGCCCTACCTACCCGCCCCTAGCCATATCCTCCTGAGAGAAACCTCAAGCAATTTGGTACAAGGCTCCAGTTCCCGCTCTCTCCAGCCCCCTTTCTAACCTGTATCTCCCGAGGTAGAAACTTGTTAAGGTAGTCTTCAGAGGCCTTCTTCTTTGAGATGATTTTGACCGCCACCATGACCTTTTGCTTTGTGTAGTAAGCCTCATACACTGTCCCATAGGAGCCATTGCCGATGACCTTGCCCACCTCATAACCATACTCCTCCATGACGGAGCGGTAGGCTGAGGCAGGAGGTGGCCCTTCCAAGGTGTCTCCCTTCCCCATGATGTTGGATTTGCTAAAAGTTTTGTCACCTGAGAGCCTCCTGTCACTTTAAGCCACAGGGATAGGGCACCCGAAATGAAGCAAATCTTTGAATGCTGGCCTGTAAAGCACCACCCAAGACTGGAATGCTGGCTCAGCTCTCCAATAGGAACTTTGAGAGGGAAGAATGGGAGGTGTTCTTCTTGTTTCCACTGGCTGTTGTTAATTCTTACTCCTGGTCACGGAATTCCCCAAGGACCGACATTCTACACACATCACAATCCACCTCCTACTCACCATTGGTAACAAAGCTGGAGAACCAAGTGCAGTTTGGAACATATTCCTGGAGGCATCGTCCACCAGCTGGTGAGATTCTCACCCCCTAGAGATCAAGACCACCCGTGCATAGGTGTATTGAGCATGTACTGTATGCCAGGCAGTAGCAGCGTGCAGAGTACTAGGATTAAGACACAAAACACACAAAACAGGCCAAGAGACCTGGATTTTATCTTCCTATTGTTTCTAGTCCAGCATGAGATACAGAACTTGTGTCAGGGTGTGTGAGCGCATTTCAAGACACTGGAAGCATGTTCTAAGGAACTTTGAAATACATTCTAGCTTGACTCCCATGGCTCTCAATTCCCTAGTTCTCCTCCTTTGCCCCTGCCAATCCCGTTTTCATTGGAGGCCTATCTTCCACCACCCATCCCTTAACCCTGCCCCTAAGGCACTTCCACAGGTCCTCTCTTCTCATAACTTCAAATCCTCCCTTCTGGAGCGCATCCATCCGAAGGCTTCAGCTACCACACGTCTGGTGTGCTGTTCCTAATCTGTCTAGGTCCCAGATAGCTTTAGAGTTCCAGAGCTAGCAGCCAAAGCTCTGCGAACATCCCACGGATGGCATTCTCTCACAGTCGCTGCTTTAAACTTTTCCTAAAACAACTACTTATTTTCTTCCCCCAAAAACTTTCTGTAAATCCTATACCAAATGTCCTCCATTTAGAGATCAGTGTCATCTCAGGCCCCTTCTTTTGCCTCAGCTTCCAAGTCCAATCTGTGATCAAATCCTGTTTCTTTATCTAATGCGTTAAGGGTTCTCTAAGCCCACTTTGAGGACTCAGGTGCCCCTGACCCAAACCCCCTATGCAGATGAAAGCTGGACAGTGAATGAGGAGGAGGGGGGAACGGGGGGCTGTCAGCACTGATGACTGAATAACCCCACCTGAGAATTGTCTGTGAATGGATGCACTGGAAGGTGTAAGATACAGCAGAAATAATACCGGTAATAACGGTCCCTGGGAGGTAGAACGGGGGAGGGGGAGGTAAAGGGGAGCTGATATCAAGGAGTTCAGGAAGAAAGAGAATGTTTTGAAACTGACTGGTAGTAATCACATAATACTGCTTGATGTGATTGAACTATGCGATGTTGTATCTTTAAGCGCTCCCAATACAATGATTAAAAAAAGAAAATCGGTGCACCTGAATTATGGTACTGGTGAATCACACTGAATCTACCACAATCTCCCAGAAGAACCAACACATCTGCCTTGGAGGAAGTGCTCCTTAGAAGCAAGAATGGCAAGACTTCATCTCACAAACTCTGAACCTGTATCAGCAGAGACTAGCAGAAAAGGGCCCTAGGAAAGAGTATCATGCTTGTCGACAAAGAGATCACTGAAAAAGAAGAACCTCAAGGGATGGACTGATAGTGTGACTGTCACAACAGGCGCAAACAGCCATCGCGAGGATGGCACAGGACCGGTGTTGGATTGTGCTGGGGTCACAATGGGTCTGAACTGTCTCAACAGCACCTCAGTAAGCCCACTGCTACTATTGCGTGAGTCTGGGTACTTTAGAGAAACAAATCCACAGAAACTCATATGTATCAGAGAGTTTTATATCAACGGTAAGTGCACATCAAGAAAACATCCCAACCCAGTGCTGCCCGCCCAAGCCCACAAGTCCAACATTAGCCCATATGTCTGACACCAATCCACAAAGTCCTCCTCCATCTCACAAAACACACGCAATGATGCCGGCTGCAGGAGGAAAGCCGAGTCAGTGAACGTGTAAGCATCTCAGCGCTGGCAGGGGTCTCCACACAGGTGCTGCAGCACCCAGGGCTGCATCGGGGTAGGTCCATGTAGCTTCTCCTTGGGGATGTCTTGCAGGAAGTGAGCCTTGCCAGCTGAAGCAGGGAACTGGCTAAGGCAGCTGCACCCTGGACCATCGGAAAGCAAAAGACCCAAGAACTAGAAAGGAGAGGCTCACCAAGTCAAATGATCTCTCCATCCTTCAATTGACCCCACATGTGTATCGGCCAGGTGGGCACAATAAACATTAACTATCTCAAGTCAAGCCGCCTCTAGCAAGCTGTCTGCTCTCTTCCAATCCTTGAAGTCCAAATGCTTCAACCTGATTTTATTCCCATTTAAAATAATTCAGTGGTCTATTATTCGCATAACGTGTACACAACATACCCCACCACCCCTACCCCCACCCCCTGCTGCCAAACGGAAATTGCTTCTCTTTGTTCCCTGTTTTAGTCTCTGTTCTGTTGGCAAATTCCTACTGATCCTTGAGGACTTAGTTTGACAACTATTTCAAAGAAGCCTTTAGTGATTGCTCAAGCCCAACTTCTGTTTTCCCCTCCCAGCTGTTCCCACAGCCTGCATACTTTCTGTTCCAAGACTGAGGAACATAGTGCTTGTGCCTGCTGCTCTTACTTGCACCTCGTACATGGCTGTCATAAGGAGAGAGCAACTCCCAGACAATGGAGCGGTGTGGAGAATGGAAGCGAGATTTGGAAAAAGCACAACCATTGGGGTTGAGGTTGGAGACTACAACCACAGACACACAAAACCTTAGAATTGCTACTCTCTTAACACCTGGGTTAGAGATACTTACATTTTGAGGCTTGAACTGACCCCAGATTAGGTTTCTGCTAGGTAGCTTCAAAGAACTGAAAGACGTCAAGAACACAGAAAGGAAAAAAAAAAAAGTGGTTAGTATGAGCTCACCTGTAACCACCATCCCTGATCTCAACAGTAAGTTCTTATGGTATGGCCTGCTCAATACTTACCTTCATGAAGTACTCGCTGAGGGTATGGATCCTATAGCAGAGTGTGGGATGGAAATCAGGTGGTGCCTGGCTATCTGAAAGAATAGCGTCTGGACTCTTAACACAAGCAGCCATCTAAGTGAGCTATCTGCTAAGTCTGTACAGAAGGAGCACACTAACCCAAGTGTATCCAAGGATGGTGAATAACAGAATCCAAAACCAGAGGACAGAATTGTATTAAATTCTGCAAACCTGGTTTGCTGGTTATAGAGGAGTATTCATGGATTAAGGCTCCACTGAACTCCGACACTGACCAAGGATGTGGACAGCTGTCCTCAAACAGTGCGCATTGGAAAGTAGAATACTGCAGATACAGTTACGATTCAACATCTTACCCTTTTTGACCCATTTATATCTTGCTCTGTTTTTATTATGTTTTATTTTGTTGTTAGGAGTCTTTTGATAAGATTTTCTTTATATAAAATCGAGGATTTGTAAATCTACAGTGAAAAACTAAGCTCTTTAGGGTTAGGGTAAATGGGGAGCTTTTAACAATGGATAAAATAATCAAGTAACTTAAAATTGATTATGGCGATTGCCCAAGTATGTTGAAACATATTTAAACCACTGAATTATATGATACGTGATTACATGCCAATAAAAGTTAGGAGTTTTTTTTGTGGTTGGAATGTGGGATCTATACTGGATAGATAAGGAAAAATAAGCTAGAAAGAGGCCAAGGAGAGGAAGGGACCCAGTCTCAGTGGACTGGAAAGTACAAGTTTGGTAGGAGTGAGAGAGAAAAAGGAGGGTGTGGTCAGGGAGGGATTCTTTGTTTTTGTAGACAGTGCATAGAACAAGGGAAGGACACAACCCTTATTCTTGTATTTCTCATATTGCTACTCACTGTTATTGCAGCTGGTCCCAACTCAGAGACCTGTGTGCACCGGCGTGAAACACCACGCATAACCATTGACAGTTCGAGCCCATCATTGCAGCCACAGGGCCGATTCTCTTGTTAACGGTCTCCTTTTCACTGCCAGTCTACTTTGCCAATGTTTATGCCCTCCAGAATCTGACCCTTCCTGATAACTGACAAAACTAGAGCAGATGACGCCTTGCCAGCCTTGCTTGTAAGGAGCATTCTGCCTGTCCTTCTTCCAAGGCCGATTTGTTTGCTCTCCTGGCAGTCTTTGCCAAAACCACAACTCAAACACACCCACCATCACTGCCCTCAAAGCACAACAAAAGTGCTAAGATTATACTAGCTGCCAGCAAAGTATCCAGGCAGCAATTCTGTACTAGTTATCATGGACAGGGTGTGTGTGTGTGTGTGTGTGTGTGTGTGTGTAACCAGCTCATTCGTTGAACCTGTATTTATTTAACTGCCAGTTACATATAAAACACTGCCAAGTGTGTGTGTGTGTGTGTGTAACCAGCTCATTCGTTGAACCTGTATTTATTTAACTGCCAGTTACATATAAAACACTGCCAAGTTCCAAAGAGACAAGATGAATAAATTACACTCTCCCTGTGAACAGTTAGCAAATACCTAGATTGAACTGTGTGCCCCTAAAATGTGTGTTGTAAAGCCTATTCTATCTATGCCTGTGGCTTAAAGAGCCACTGGGCTTGCTAACCACAAGGTCAGCAGTTCAAACTCCCAGCTGCTGTGAGAGAGGGATGAGGCTTTCTATTCCCGTTAAGATTCACTGCCTCAGAACCCAATGGGGCAATCCTCACCTGTTCCATAAGGTCAGAGTTGTAACCCACTGACTTTGTCAAATGCCACTTGGGAATGTGTCTGTATTACAATAATTACGCATGACTAGTAGGGTGAATTTTACATCAATCTCTTCTGAGTTATAAAAAAGGCTAAACATAAGCTAGCACACAGAAAGGACAAGCACCCGATGACAGCTCAGGGGCAGAAGCTCAGATGAGACTGGGACTTCCTTCAAAGGCAGCAGACTGAGAAAACCCTTCCTTCGAGCCAACACTGATTTGCAATCTCCCTGTTAGTTTGGACCTCTAGCCTCCCAGCTATGAGACAATAAGTGTGTTTGTTATGCAGTTTTCCACTTGAGGTATTTAAGTTTTAGCAGCACTAGATAACTAGACAGCAAAGGAGGCAACCAAGATATTGCTGTACGTTGGGAAAATGGGCTATCAACATAACTTCGAATGAGATCTAAGGGGAGGCTGCAGAGAGACCGTGACATCTGCACTGTTTCAAAAGAAGGCATTCTCTAGGCAGGTAAGTAAGAATGGCAGATTGGGCAATCTGGGCAGAAAGAACAATAGGAGGTTCACAAGCTTGAGAGAATATGGCATCCAGGTAACTTCAAGATTCTAATTTGAATACAGGTGGTTCCAGAAGGAGGAGTAATTAGGATCCTGGTCTGAGACGCTTCATACACCAAGCTATTTTGACTTTCATCTTTATACTCATGGTTGTTAACTTTTTGTGTATCCAAATGAGGACTTGTTTAAAAAAAAACCCTGAGGTCCTGGCATCTCCTCTCCCAAAAGCATAACGTGGAAGAACCTAAGTGTTTTTATTATAAACTTTCCGCTGAATCTGATGAATACCAGTTCAAGAACTGCTTCAGACAACAGAAAAGCTTTCGGATTGAAAAACAAAATTAATACATCCTTCCAGCAGCAGGTCATAAATGAACCCATGGGAGAAGTGACCAGAAGACATAACACGGTAGCTGAGACAGAATTTTGGTGCCTGAACCAAGTGAGGGGTGGAAGCCAGACAATTGAATAATAAGTGGATGGGGGCTTGGTGACATTGAGTTGAAGGGGAGATGCCCACAAAGAAGCAATTTCTGTGGCTATCAGATGATTTCAAAGCCATTTTAAGTCCCTTTTCTAATCGCAAAATTCATTGTTTAAAAAAATGCAACTTCTGACATTTTTGTACGCAGAAAGATGAGGCCACAAAAGCAGAAATCATAGGTGAGTGTGTGTGTGTGTGTGTGTGTGACCAAAACGGCCATTGGGTCAATTATTTTTGGAGGGGTCAATTCTAACTCATGGGACACAAGGGCTTTTTGCACTGGACCTTTTTCCTTTGGAAGGGCCCTAGTGGCATAGTGGTTACATGTTGGGTTGCCAACGGCAAGGTCAGCAGTTCAAAACCACCACAGGCTCTCAGAATCCACTAGATGGCAGTGAGTTTGTTATTGTTTTTCCTTGAGAGAGAAAAGTGAAGTGCAACGTCATGGAGCCTAAACCCACACCTAGTGGTCCTCTAGGACTGGGTAGAATTTGTCCATAGGATTTCCAAGACTTAAATCGTTAAGGAAGCAGGCTGCCCATTGTTCTCCTATAAAGTGGCTGGTGGGTTCCCGCAGACCCTAGCTGCTGTAACATCAGGGACCCTTCCCTTGGTGAGCGATCCTCCCATGGGCTTCCTGACCACAGGGAAGTCACTGTCCGGAAGCTCATCTCCAGTGGGACGCCTTTCTTGATGGCAGGTTCCATACCACCACCCCAAAGTTAACAAATAGAACAATCTTCAAAATAATCTGCAACACGAAATTCAGTCTCCAGATACACACACACACACACACACACATACACAAAAGCACTAAAGAAATGGTGAACGATGATGGCAACAAATGTACAGATGTGCTTGACACAATGGATGGATGTACGGGTTGTGACGAGTTGTGCGAGCCCCCAATAAAATGATTTAAAACAATGGATTTTACTCCCCAAAATAAACGTAATTCATAGTTTGTATATTTAAATACATGTATAATTGCAAATGTATAATAAGAAATGAAATAAAAACGTTCACATACAACAACAAAAAAGAAAAGAAAAAATGGCCGGCAAGATTCTTTACCTCCGCCTTGCAATTCCCCCGACCGCGGCCCACTCCCGGGTTCACGGCGGGAACCCGGTCTTGCAGCCTTCAGCTCCAGACCGGCCTCCCTTGCCGCCCGCCAGGGAACGAACACGGCCCGGAACTCGAC